ATCAAAGTGAAAAATGAAAGAGCGTGACGTTAATCGACACAACGTGTTGAAACTAGAATACTCGTTACTCGTTGCATCAATGGAGCGTTACGTGAGTATGTATTCAACCTGTAGTAGGAATCTCCACTTTTCCTTTCACTCTTCGATCGAACGATACACGTGTGCATCACGCTATGCTGCGCGTAAAATGCGGTGCAGTTCCGTGAGAAAGTGCACACATTGACTACCTTTATTTACGCTTCTTATAATAATAATTTGACGCTGGAACTATAGTATAACAAACTGTAATCGTGTTGTTTTATTTGAAATTATGTTATGACATATACTTGATATTCTGCTGGTGTTACTTAAAAGAACAAAGTATGTACAGTAGCATCACGACGTAATTTACAGATGTCCATAGATATCATATCAAACTTATGTTGACTGAATCAAAATTAAACTAACACATTATAGTATCATATATCATACGATACGAATCATTCGTCTAGATGGAACGAACTATAAAATTGTGACGTGAGACGATATTGAGAAATTTTACACGAGTAGTATATTTACATGTGGGCCTCGTGCGTGCAAGAATGCATGTATGTATACTATAGTCTAGTCTACATAGTAGAGTAGAGGTATGTTGATACCCGTAACGGAATCGGTCTCACAGTCATCTCAATGACGTCACGAAACTGCTGAGGAATGGCGATCGAGTACTTCCTCTACTCTTATAGTTTCCTAGCTGCGCCATCGATCACCGTAGATCATCGATCGTCACTATCGATGATCGTGCGAGTGATCGAAATACGTGAATAAAATCGAAGAAGAAAATTGAAAACGAGACTCTAAAGCAATCAATTATATATCGAATAACGATATTGGTGATCTACAATTTTAGCGATCAATCGATCACAATTGTATTTACTTTTGAATTTTCATGATACGTTAAATTTAAATTCGAAACTTGAATCACATGAAGATAGAATTTTTTTTATATTTGTACGACGTAAAAATATTAAAAGAAATTCTCAGTCGTTTCTTTTAGAAATGATAGTAATTAAAAATAGGAATTAACTTGCTGATATATTTAGTTTGCATTTTCTAAATGATGAAAATATGGAGTTATTAACTAGTAATTAGATAATATTATATTAATAGTTACTTTGTTGTTGGAGATTGTTAATTTATCAATTATAGTTTTTAGAAGTTACAAAATTGTTCGTGTCATAAGGCATAACCGATAAAATTTTCTATTTTGTAACTTGCCTATTGAACCGTTAGATGGCAACACTCTTCACAAAAAAATTGTTACACAGTATTGTAAGTACATACATATACACTGGTTTTGGCCATGTATCAGTTCTCTAAATAAGTGTTTTTTTTTTTTATTTTATTTAGTATTATCTTAATATTTATTATTGAATAAAGTGTGAGTATTCTAATCTGTAATTTGCGATCATAATAAGAATTTACTTTCTCTTGTTTTCCCATAAGTCAGAAAAATGAGTCTATCTTTCTTATATTCTGATTGATGTATGCATGTGTATAATTTTTTTTACTTTTTCTGACTTAATTCATTCAAAATATGTGTACATATATATTCAGAATGATTTTCTCTCTTAATCATCACTTAATCATTTCAACGAATCGAAACAAACATTTTATTTTTTTTTCCATTTGTATGAAATATTTCACGCGCAACTTTGAACTTTGAACTGTCAGTGCTCAGGCAACATCTGAATTTCATTGTAAATAACAAAACTTAAGAAAGTAAGAAACTTATTAACATTAATCTTAGATTATTCAAGATTCGTGCGTTTAAAAACTAGGGCAACCTGCGTTTAACCTCAAAACTAATTTCTTACTAGGCGTTAATTCTCTCAGTTGCTCTATGCAGCAAGCAGAAACGGCAGTTTTACGATTTGCTTCACACCGACGTTACATAAGTGGTACAGGTGTATTCTTATACTTCACTTTAAAAAAAAATTTGTCGTATAGTATGTGTAATCTCTATTTTAAAATTTCATTTTCATAATTCAAGTGTGAAGAAGTTCAAAACATTTCCTTTCTATCAATACGTATGTACATACAGTTCATATAAAAATTTTACAATCTCGTGAGTAATCTTTGAATAACAATTCGAAACATCTGAAAGTTAGAATTAAGGATCGTGGAAGGATTTGATAAAATCGAAACACTCGAAGTGTTGCAAACGAGTTCTCTACTGAGAACGTATAATTCGCTCTCAATCGTTTCATGCGTTCAAGAATTCACGTAAAATACATGTAAAATTTTAAAGAATCCGCAGATGGCAATTCGCTAATGCATTGCCAAGCAATTGATTACATAATCTCTATCTTGTAGGGGGCCACGAAGTGAGTCATCTATCGAGTGAATTGCCGTTGTGTATTCGTGCATGCGCGAATCGACATGTTCGTCCAAGTGTGCAACTCGATCTGTGTTTCCTGTTTATTGTCAAACGCAGTATAAACATTTAACACCGTTGGAAGTTTCAACCCGGTTCTGCAGCATTTCGAAAATATTTTCCACATTGGAAAGCTGCCTCCATTGCGCACGGTTGCATCCTAATAGTGGCTTATGAAGCAGTTATAATACGATGTTTCGCGACGCTGTACCACGTGCTCGTTCGCACTGTTATTAAATAAGAGTGGCGCTAGTGGTAAGTGATTTAAAAAATTTCTCTCTAAGTTCCGTTTAATTCTGCAACGTACGTTAATTTGTACTGCATTTTCAAATCAAGAATATTATACAAATAATTTACATGGCATTAGCACTTTTTTTAGGCAGTTATATTTAAAACAGTTATATTTATGGCGAAAGTAATTCATCTGTTATAACTCACTTTCGAGAATGAAAATCATTCAGTTAAAGTTTTTTTTATCTATTATACTTCATCGTTAATTATACTTAATAATCTTTTTTAATAATTTTTCATAATTGCAGGATCGATGCATTATTATTAAATATATGCACATACATAAGTTGTATGCTAAAGTGTTATTGTTGATAGTGTTTAATGAACATTTTAATTTTCACTGTAGAAGCTACTTTTGTAAAATATCAAAATATCATTTATTTTGGAGTTTTGAATTAATGTAAATTGCAATACACATGTTAAATAAATGTGAATTACAAAATATTAATATTTTTAAATAGAAAAGAAATTGCTAAATGAATTATAAAAATTTCTGAGGACCAGTTCAAGTTTTCACGCGCGTAAGATTATAAGATCTTATTTCTACTGTGCTTAACCTTTATACAACCTAGCATCATTTCAAAGGTTTCTACGTTATTAATTACATCTCAATAACATAACCAAGCTGTATAGACATGCTATGCTATTATATCACCTGCAGTTGCCTTACAAACGTAATCGTTTGACGTTCAAAGTCATTAATTAATCTAAATGGATATTTGAATTCTAAATAGATTATTTTAGAATGCTAATTACATTGGAGTACTAGTTTTCAGAACAGGACAATTTTCAAAAAAAGAAGATAATTAATTTCAAAGTTTAAACAAGCGACTACGTAACTCAAGTAGAATTATTATAGATATTATTGTAAATTATTATAGATAAAACTTCAAATTATTGTAGATAAATATAAAGCATAACATTTGAACATTAAATGTTAATAAAATTAGGTCACGACGAGCAAGGTCTTGGTTCGTTGTCGCATATTGTATCTTGATTATAAAGCTTCTACGTGACGCCTGGTTACACATCGTGCAAAAGTTTTGGATCGGGGCCAAATTTTGTGATCATATATAACTAACTTTCGATGGCGGACTTCTGGTACCTTACTCTGGTGTAATACGATTGAGAGTCGTTCACGATCATTTGACATTATACGACAAAACACTCCCTTGAACGTTTGTAAACGCTAATTATAGAATTTTAATTATGTAGTCGTGAATTAATTGTCAGGTCGAGGCAAAAAGCTGGATTTCTCTTAGAATACACACTGGTCTGTGATTTTCATCAAAGTTTCTCGTAGGTGATTCTTCAGTTAACACTTATTGATGCCTCTTAAACGTTATAGTTTCAGCGATTCTATTTAAAGTTCGACAATAAATCTTATTACATATGGGTTTTATTTGCTAGCCGCTCAATTTAGTTCCTATTGGGAACAATACATGATACATATGTTTTTTACATTGAAACAGTGCCTTCGAATTAGACACGATCTATTTATACTTATATCGAATGATTCACGGTTGATATTGCACGAAAGAAAAAAAAAGATAAGTCGAATTCTGAGGATAATAACGTGATCGAGAATTGTGTTCCATTAATGATGATCTATTTATATGGCGCAGTTATCGGTAACGAAAAAAAGAGAGAACGAGTTGACCAACTTTTCGGGAGTAACAAACACGTGAAGGGAATTCGTGCTTACTATAAAAGGATATAGGTAAACAAGTCCGGAGTACAGCCTTGCTCGGTAGGCTGATTGTATAAAACGAAAAATGGAAAAACTTAACAATACTGGCTTGCAGTTGAAACAAACGATAAATCTTGTTGAATTCCGCGTCAACGTTTCAAACAAAAAAAAAAAAAAAAAAAAAAAGAAACAATATTTCCGAGATTGTAAATATCCCCTGTAATTTTTGAAAATTTTGCTTTTTTATCAACTTGTACAAAACAATGCGAATTTTGTGATGTGAGTGTCTTTTTTTTCGATACGTTCTTCCACGAAGTTATCGTATTTTCCATTTTAGGTAATCGGCGATAAGCGCGATCGATCTCGATGTTTATCGATTATTGTTCGAAAGAGAAGCATAATATGAATTTTTCGTTCTTCGCTTTGAACGTCGCGTGTCGTTCGAGTGCGCGAAAAACAAACGATTTCTAGAAAGAGCCGGAGAGAGAGGAACGTTCTAGTAGTCTCTCGTTGCTTCTCTCGGTCGGTTCCGTAGGGAGTCGGCCACACTCGGCACGGCAGTCACGTGGCTCTCGATACAGCCCACACAACAAATATATTTAAGTCGCTCGAGGGGCGCACTGACAGTTTCACTATTGACCTAAAACGAGCGTGTTCGTGGAACGAGCGTGCGTCTTGAGGATTTTCTTAAGAGGGACACCTTTTTCTGATGCAGAACCTTTTGTTCGCGAGTGTGTGACACGCGCGAGGAGTGCGTGAAGAAATCAACGGGGTAACACCGAAATAGTGGTCCTATTATATAACGAAAGCAAAACGAAGAGAGAACACAGAAAGCTAGAGTGTTGTCTAGCTAGAGAAGATCGAAAGGGAGAGGCTCTAAAGACCAACTGTCGCACGTAGTTAACTCCGGTAATTTTGCAAGATTTTTAAGCAGAAACAAAGAGAACGAAAGTGTGTTAATTTTTTTCGTTTCGCATTTTTTTTTTTTTTTTGTTAACACGCCGTCACTGTTGTTTAGTGAGCTTCTTGGCTGATTCTTTAAAAGTATATAAAAATAATACATAAAAAGAAAAGAAACGTTTAACCTGCAGAGCGAGCTCTTAACGACAAAAGGAGGTACGAAGTTAACCTCGTAGTGTGTGAGACGAAATAAAATACAGCAAATATTTTAAAAAAGTCGCATCCTCCGAGACAAAAAAAATAAAAAAGAAGGAAAAAGAGGACACCACATATTCTCGAAATTAGGCACGGATTAAAGGGTCCAGAAAATGGACTCGCCTGTCATCGTGGACAAAGCATCCGAATTCGGGGAACCGATTGATTTGGATCGTCCGTTTTCTGTAAGTGGTGCCATCTCCTTTTTTTTGTCATTTCCATCGTATATAAATCTCGCATTTAATACTTGTACGATCGCGACAAACACGATTTTCGATGTGTTACAGATAAGATTAAATTAATTTTTACGTGGCGCAGGATTATGTTCGTTGACGTCCTGACTTGACAATTAATTACTTGCGAACGTACATTCAAGTATCAGGCAAGAATAATATAGAGAGATCGTGTTAATCATATTAATCTACTAAAACCTGTCTATTAAATCATGCGATCTAAGTATTGATATAGTCAACTCTCGACGGTTTTGTAGACATTTCCAGATCGTTCTAAAGTAGTATCACGTACCTTTTCATTCATTCTAGAGCTTTCTAATAATAAACGCCCCGCGACATAACGTGTATATTTTAATTGTTACGTGAGGTTCGTTTGTAATTTATTAGTTCTTTTTTATTTTTTATCATTTTATTTTATTTTACTTTATTTTTTTTTTTGTAGTAACGAGTTTATCGAATTGGCGATAGACGTAATCAGTGTACTGCTGGTTCTGTCCTATGCGAAATTTGGATGTCATGTTGATGTGTACACACAGCTATCAATGTTCTCGATTCTTACATTCAACGTTGGTTTCGACCTTCTCTTTCGCGTTCCGCGAGATCGCGTGGAAGTTAGAAATAGAATCGGCGAGGAATGACGTAGGTTTCACCACCTCGAAAACGGTGACTTGCAGACCCGTGAATTTTTCGCTTTCTCCGGAACGAATCACGACTAGACGAACGAATTTCTTCTAAACAGACTTGACTGTAACAATTTACAGAGAATTCTTTTTATCTAATTATTTCAGAATTGATTGAATTGAAAGTGGAATGTTAGCCGTTATAGTTTTATAATGACGATTTATATATAGAGATATATAATAAAAAAAAGTAAGATAAAATATAAGAATTTGAATTCTAGATATTATAATTCATTATACGATCTTCTATGTACGTTACTTGTCAAGATGCAGTATATTTCTTGTCACTGGAGTTTCATAGAATCGGAGTGTTTTATTTTGTATTCTTTTACACTTTATTTTCAGTATTTTTACGATTTTTTTTTTTATTAATTTGCTGTTTCGCATTTTCTGTAAATATCAAATCTCTGCTGTAAATCTTAAAGAGATACCATCAAAATTCAATCTGATAGGATATTACCATCTTGGTGGTATTCCGACCGGAAGTTCTCAGCATAGCGACGTTCTCCTCATCGCGTAGTACAAATATTTGACTCGACTGGTGACTTCTCTGATTATAACAAGACTCCTCGAATATCTTTCGAGTGTATTCTATCCTAGAGTAAGGTCCATTCCTCCAAAACACAAGCATGTTGACGCTAATAATAAACTAAGGGAGACGTTTCTCCTTGGTAACTCTCTCTGTCGAGGACGTGGGCTCGCGTTTCTTGCGACCAAATGGAATCGGACAGAGGAAGAGTGGAGAAAGAGGGAAAAACGACGAAAAACGTAACATAATCGCGGTCCATTCGTTGACTTACACGCTTTATTTCTTCTCGTTTACGTCCGGCCACTCGGCCGTATTAGGCTCGCTTAAAGATCCTGTAACCAAATGAATGATCTTTTCTTTTTTGAAATTCAACTCCAATTCATCCATATGTCTATTGTTCTCCAGAATCTTCTCGATCTCGAAATAACACAAAAGTTAACGGTTTCAGATCAGAAGCAAAGGGAAGGGAATATATACGATTGGGAATTGTTTTAGCCTTTTATTCTTAATTCATGTGATCAATAAATTTACTTCGGTTCGTTTATTATGCATTTTTTTTTTAATATAGTAGTGGGAGAGGTAAACGTTATGTGAATATGTTGCATGCCAAGCTTTTTGTTTGATCATAAACTGTGATATGGATGTTTAGTATTAATACTAAAAACAGTATGACTTACGATTTTTGAAAAAAACAAATCTACTTTCTCAATATTTTCTTAGGATGTTCAGTGCTCATTAATTGTAAATACATAAATTTGATTAAAAAATTTACATTTCTATTCACTGGAGTGTGAAACTCGCATTTTATTTCCATTTTTACTCTTTTTATATTTCGTGTTTTTATATACCTATTTGTTACTGTTATTCTTCATATTGTAATGATTCTACTTCATCTAAATAATCTCTACTAAACAACTTACCGTACAGTTGCCTACACTAGTGCAGTCGACCAGTATAGTTTTTCCTCTATCGTTTCCATCGTCAATTACACCATACCTAATCGAGTTAACTAAAAGAGAATTGCCTTCTCGATATTATCTACACGGCGTGCCTAGCTTCTCGAAAACACGATAACAGAGTATTTTTACCTGTGATCTAACTGGCTGCCCCTTTTCACGTAAAAAGGAAACCGGTTTCGAGGAACATTACTGTTAATACTATTGACGATGACGCCTTGACATGTGTCGCGTGGGCGTTATCTATCCATTGGAGAACGGAAGTGAAAAACCAGATTGGTAATCCTTTTCTCTTCTCGGTCCATTCTAGGACCTATTTCCGGCATTCTATAAAAGATCCTTCCGCTAATATGGCCCCTGAAATTTTTTCTATTCTACAAGAACGTAGACTTTTCTTTTACACTTCTGATAGTATACTAATATACTCAGAAAGATTTGGAATTGTTCTTAACCTTCGCTAACTTCGTCCCTTCGTTTCTCCTTTTACTATTGTTACCGTTACTCTTGTATTTAAGAATTTCTGCAATTGACGCCCACTTTGATTTTTGCAATTACATTCTAACATCTTTACAGTCGGTGCCTTCCAAAATGGAATTGCTGGAATTTCGTTGATTGATCTGTTTAGTGTAAATCGTATGAATATAAAAATATTCTTATTAGTCTCAAATATATATCGTATGAATATAAAAATATTATTATTAGTCTCAAAAATATTATTAATTAGTCTCCTGGCTATTTTTCTATTATGTACGTCTATCTAAGAATAGATCTACGAATAAAGGGGCCGGATTGTTTCTAAGAATGCCACGAGATCAGGAAATAACGATAAACCGGCTACTGTTGTGGGGCCCGATTCGAAGGACCATGACACACTTCTTCGGTTATATCCAGCCGGCGCTGACATTCACCCAGTTTTATGGATAACCATAGTAGATTGAACTTCTTGCCTCCTTGCGGTTCCTTTCTGTCCATACGTGTTGCCCGAATGCTTGTCGCTGGATATACTTTAACAGAAAATCCATCGTTTCTTAATAATGCACAATGACATGAATATCTTTCTCCAGTTAATCCTGTAATTAACTAATTAAGGTTGAACTGATAGATAATTTACTAACTAATAGGATTAACAGATTTTTTTTTTTTTTATTATCGTTGACCGATTACTATGTAATTCGCGCTTGTGGTGACACGAACAGACACAAAACGCAAGGAAAACGTGACGAAATGAAATCACGAAAAGTTGCATAAAAGGCAAGGAACGTGTGGAATGCAAGCTATGGATTGAATATTCAATGCGGGGCAGTTCAGTCACAGTTCCTGGAACTGCACGTTGCAATAATTAACAGATTTCATAGCTCTTAAATCGGAAGTGTTGCGTGAACGTGATCTAATATCATCCTCGACGATATATACACGGTATATTGAAAATTTTCTTCGAACCTACTCTCAGTTCGGCGGTTCGCTCTGAGATCTCCTTTCGTTCCTGCAACGTGACGATCGGCGATTAGTGTACAAACGGTTCTACTTGGAAATTTCGTTTAAGGCAAAGTGAATTCTCAAAGGACTAATACTATTAATGGCGGTAGTTTAAATTGTAGTCGGACCTAATTTGGCAGTTGCGTACGTGCGAATTCAGCTCGGATAAAAATAAATAAACAAAGAAGAAGCATCGTAGCTGATTCAAGTATAGATGGAAAAAAAAATATTGCTACGACATTCGATGTATAATACTTAATAATTATAGAAATTGGACTATGGTCGACGATTAAGAAAAAAAAAAAAGAATTAAGAAAAAAAAGAAAAACAGAAATTGATAGAAACAAAGAAAGAAAAGTAGACCTAGGTAGACCTAGCGTTTAACAGCAGGAGTGCATGATTCATAAGTGGAGTCGGCTGGGTGTACCTTTAAAAGGTATTGAGACACGAACGAAAGACTTTCATGCGTGTTTCAATCAGGGATATGTAAAGAATGCTGGAAATTAATGAACCAGCTCAAGAAAGAGAGAAGTGAATCACTCTCAAATTTTAATAAACTTCCTCAATTATACGCAACACGTGAGGAAAATAGTTGCTCGCCCGCTAGTCGTCCAATAGTTGTCGACCAACTATATTTGTCGCTAACTTCATATTTAAAATAAAACTCTCGAAATAAGAAGATAGAAATTTCAAATCAAACGGATGGGAAAGAGAGTAATCCATCACAATTTTGTTTAATTTTCTCGTGTTTGCGTTGAAATATACATGCATGTTCAATTAGAGAAAGTAGAGAAGTTTTTTGGGGGGGAGGGGGAGTTACTAAACGATTATTCCTATTTGCCAAAGAAATCACGATTTCCTTTGATCGAATTATCTCACGTGGGTGAGACTACGAAATATACACGTGCAACAGTATATATGTACACACCATGTCGCCACTATATATACATATATAGTTCTTTAATGACGTAAAGGCCGTCGTCACGAGTGGTACACCCACGCGAAATCACATATTTCTCGAAATGGCGTCAATTATTGCAATACGAAGTCGTAACGTTGATCGCAATTGCTTTTCGAATCTTCTAAGCACTTTTATAATATCTACGTACGTAAAAATCTAACGATAAAATTCTAATCCCTTTTGTGCATGGCTTCTGATGATATATCGACACGATCGTGTAATTTCATTGATATATCATAGATCTTTTTTAGAAGTTTGGCGAAAATTTAGGAGGACATCTACGCTTCGTTTTTCTTGTAATGTCATTTAATGCTAGTTTCTTGTATATCTTGTATATCATGTTCGATATAACAGGCTTCTTGTAATTTAGAAACAGAAACTTAACCTGCTAAAAGATATAATAGAGGATATTCCGCAGCTTGTAGCGACAGAGTTTCAATAATTAAGCTTTAACTCATCAGTCAGTTACATTAATCGATCGTAGAAACAATCTTCTGAGGTCTTTGAAATTTTCAGAAAATATTCTGAGAATAATCGCAAAGAAAAAAAAAAAAAAAAGAAAGAAAACCGCTTCGCAAATATTTAAGAATGATATTGAATTTTGAAATTAATAAATCTATCGACCTCAGAAGTCATACTTAAAAAAAAAAAAAAAAGAAAAGAAAAGAAAAAAGGAAAGAGGACACAGATTTCTTATTTTTTTCTAAACTTTTTGTTTCCAGGCGTTCCCATTCGACGACGACAATTTTGGACGACGCAGCGACATCCGTGCGCACCTGGACGATCTAGCAGCCCGTCATCCAGAATTCGCCGACCATCTGTTGGGCTCGCCTTGGGGTGATATTCCCTTTCACGGTTCCTTCCGCAACCGAAATCGCGACTCTGCGAGTAGAGACCGTAACAACTATCAGCAAGGGTACTCGGACGAGGACGCGCGAAGTCAAGCAAGCGGAAGTAGCGCTGCCAGCGCGTCCAGTTCGCACGGCGAGGCAGACGTTAATCAGAATCAACAGAACAAGTCCTCCAACTTCGAGCAACAGTCTAATAGAAAAAGTCAAATTCCACAATACGGGTTACGCAACACCGTGGACATAGGTCAACACCATCACAATATGGAGAATCCCGACAGAGGAAATCGCGGACAGCGCTCGATGTCCGCTCCTCCAGAGAACAGACAGTCATCAATGACCAACAATCAACAACAACCTCAGCAGCAAGAGCAAAAGCCGCAGGGGCAGAGATATGTTTCCAGAATAGATATAACGCCGCAACAGCCTCAACAGCAACAGCAGAAACCTCAGCAGCAGAGTAATGTTAGGCATATTCCAATATTTGTCGAAGGTAGAGATGAACCTGTGCTTCCAAAAAGTTTCGACGAACCGTTTCCCTCCAGAAGGGAATCTTCTCCATTCAGAAGGGAACCTTCTCCTACACAGTTCCACACACCACCGCACTTTCAAAGACCATCCCCATTCGGCCAACACTTTGGCGGAAGACACCATCAGTGGCCTCCACACTTCCAAGAACCTTTTTATCAGTCACCAGGTGCTTATGAGCATCCCTCCAGGAGGCAGCAACAGACTCACACCTTCCCTAGACAGCATCAGCAGCAACAGTATTGTGAAAGACAACCTCAGCAACAATATTACGCTGAGAAACAACCTCAGCAACAATATTACGCTGAAAAACAACCTCAGCAACAATACTACGCTGAAAAACAGCCTCAGCAACAATACTATACTGAAAAACAGCCTCAACAACAGCATTACGAGCAACCAAGGCAACAGAAGCCTCAACAGCAGGTTCCACTTCAGCAGCAGCAACCACCGCAACCTCAACAACAACAGCAACAAGAACCAGTGAAACCAAAACCCAGCGTTCCAAAAGATCCACTCGAGAGAGTAGCTCTTGTACAGAAAGAAGTAGATGCCCTGGCTGAACAGGTTAAACAGTATACCGGTAACTCAAGGACAGATAAAGAATATATTTATTTAGATGAAATGCTTACCAGGGAATTGATTAAGTTGGATGATATAGAAACAGAAGGCAGAGATAATGTTCGACAAGCGCGCAAGAACGCGATTAGAACTATACAGGAAACGATTAGCTTGTTGGAGTCGAAGGCGCCACTCCCATCTCAGCAAGCATTGCCAAAGGAACAGGGAATACAAGAAGAAATTTCTAATGTAATTGAGGAGGCTGGGCAGACTGAAACAATGGACGTGGATCAGAAAATAGAGGATCAGTCTCAAACTAAGGAACCAATTCCATTGCCTCCTGGTCCATCGTCTCCAATAAAGGAATTGAAAGAAAATACTGAACTTTCTACGAAGGAAGTGGAGAATTCTGCTATTGATCAAACAACGAGTCAACAACAGGAAACTAGTCAAACAAGTGAACCTATGGATACGACTTCAGTAATAGAAAACCCAGATATTCAACAGAGTACAGAGAAAGTCGCTGTAACTGAAACTGAGGAGAAAAAACAAGAGAATATTTCTGAGGTAAATACCGAAGAAAAGAAAACAAACGTTTCTGTTGAAAAGACTGCCACTGAGGAGAAGAAAGGAGAAAATCCTTCGGAAGGAAAGAAAATAGAGAACGTTTCTGAAGATACGAAGGGAGAAAACACTTCCAAGGAAAAAAAAGAAACGTCTGCAGAAACGAAGAAGGCTGAGATTGTTTCCAAGGAAAAAAAACCAGAGGAAACTGATCAAGAACAACAACAGAAAACAGAAGAGAAAATGGAGGTGGATAATAGTGAGGTGAAACAGTCTCCCAAATCGAAAAAAGGAAAGAAGTCGAAAAAACAGACTGCCCCAGTGTCTGATAAACCAATACCATTGCCAGCTCCAGAAAACACTGAGACCAGTGCAAAATAGGACAACTAAGCAAGAAGAAGTATAAAGTGTCATGATTCCAATTTGCACCAAAGGATGCATCAATCAATCTGTTCTGTTGGTTGTCGCCAGTTGTTTTGGAGACCGAGCTAAGGAGAGCCATTTGTTGGTCGTTATCTCCACTATTTTGCAATTATGATTAGTGCCAGATCGACAGGAACGTCGTGGATCGACGTGAAAACCGCACAATCATCAGCATAGAACCGGCCTTTTCGCTTTCTTGTTCACGTGGTCACAGTCAGGTTTGAACCTTTTGAAGGAATGGGAATAGGAAAAAGATCAGAAGAATCGTACAACGAATATCTAGCATGAAAAAAATGTCACTCTGTTGCTTTGTACTTATAATTGAATTATATAATTACATTGTTTCTGTATGACGAGGCTGTCCCGCCCCCTCTCTCCAGATTTCTTTCTTTTTTACCGCATTGCTTTCTTAAGAAATCACACGGGAAAGAACGTAGAATACTCAAGGAATTGTATTACACATTTTGACAATGTCCGGTACAATTGCTCTTGCACTTCGATGCTGATTACACTTGAAGAAACTGAAATATTCTTCTCTACTTTTATTTTTACTTTTTTTTTTATTTAATCATTAATTGACTAGTTAAGTAATATGTAACCAGAAGCAGAGAAATATCAATAATAATTCAAAAGAAGTAAAAAGAAGATATTTGAGTAACCGATATTTTTCGTGTTATCAAAATTGACGTGTAGTCAGCATCGATAATAAGATCAGCGAAAGAAACTTGATATGATTATGAAAATTTTTAAGCGTATAACGGAAATGCTAGTAATTGTTTATCTTCATAAGAAACGTGTTGGAGATGTAGGACTCGAACGTTTAAGAACAAAACGCGTTCATTTCTTACGATTAGTATTACAGCGCACGGCCTGAGACATAATAAAACTAACTTTATTATTATATTATTATTACTATTTATAATTTATTGTGCATCTGCTGAACAATTTAAGCACGATTTTCGTGCCTCTAATGTAATAGGTTGTTAAAAGAAGATTGTTCAGAAATTTATAGATTTTTAGTAACGAAGAAAATAAGTAAAAAGAATTTACATGTATAACTTTATGTATAATTGTGATTCTTTATGTGTACATTCATAGTTTTCTTCCTTGATACGCTAAGGAGGAAAAACAACAGCTTAATGCGAGACTTATACGTGATTATTAATTTTATAATATTTATAAAATAACAAAATAAAAATAGAATTTAATTAGACACAGTTAAAATTCTAAATAAAAATAATCGATCACATTATTAAGTTCTTTTTACTTGATTTACTGTGAAATATGAAATCTATGAATTTCTGAGCCACTTCAATTCAATGCCATGTGCAACTCTGTTGTCACGAAATTGTTACGTATGGTATACAAACGTGTACATATTAGGATTGTATGTGTTCGTCTTGTGAAAAATTGTGCATCCTGTTCACTGTTATTTGTACAAATACCTTAAATCATTGTTCAACTTTTAATAATGTGAGAAGTTCTTAATTAAAAATGATCGATAACAGTATATAGGGTGCATTATTTTATGGTTCCTTGTTCAGGATGATACTCATCATTCTTCGTATTTTGTTCTTTTTTTTTTCTGTTTTGTTTTCTGTATGACATTTACATGTATATGTATCTGTAGAGATGTGCTTTTAAGCAGAAATTTTGTATTTTTTTTCTGAGTGGAATTTGTATGCGTGTGAGAAAGAATAAATGGATCATAGTTGTACGAAGGAAAAACATGTATGTGAGAAAGAATGGATGATCTGACTGTGGTGACAAAACAAGTGGAAATTATCAATAGAATTTCAGAATAAGTACGGCGAAAATGTAACTATTTTATGAACAAACACATTCGATTAAAAATACAGTCTGGTCGTTTGAATTATATAATTGATCCTAACCCAATCAGATCATATTAAAAAGTTCCTGTTTCCTGTATTTATAATCAAGTTATTCTGCGTTCCTGAATTATGTCACTTGTATAGTTTATTTTATTTTATTTTATTTTTTTTTTAAGTGGTACAAGTCCAACTTTAACTTGTAAATTACTGCGTAAGTTTAATTAGAAGACTGACGTTTTCTTATCGTAATTTGATGATGTATAATTAGAGAGATAGTATTTCCAAAAAATAATCAATGGAATAATGTTTAAAAATAAATATTTTTAAAACGAATGTTTATTAAACAAGCATGTTTACATTGGTAGTTTTGCTTTTTAAAAATTTTCAATGCAAGAAAGTACTTGTACTATTAAAAAGATAAAAAGAAACCAATCATTTTCTTACAATTAGTATAAAATAATTAAGAAATTTTTTTATCACAAAAGATGAATCTTTTTACTTAAAAAGATCAAAAATATAACAAACAAAAGCAAGTTGATAATTTTAAATTGTAAAATTGTTTTGCTAAATGTTTTGCAAGAAAGCTGGTAAATGTTGAATTTGGAATAGAGTTTGGCTTGTGTCCAGTGTAATAAACCGAGATAAAAACGTCACTACATAAATTCACGCGTTTTTAATCTTATTGTTGTAGAAACAAAAATAAAATTTTCACTTTTAAACGAAGTCGAGTAGAGAAAATTTAAAAAACTTTTACTCGAAATGCAAATTTGAAATTGATCGAATCCTTATTAACTTTCTGTGTGTAGTATGTAAAATAATATATGAGAAAAAGTTATTTATTATGTAAGTACGTATACGTTCGCGAAATTTTTGTGCTGCAAAAATATATATATCTAAATATATATTGCCTAACCTAGAGATTAAAAAAAAAATTGTTTAAAGTACAATACGTAGTTTTTGTTGAAACAAAAATTTCCAGGTACCAACGATCTGTTACATATACATATGTACTTATACGACATTTTATTGCCAAATTTCTGAGAATTGCAATTATAAAGTCTCTATGCAATATTGTAATCATAACCATAATCAATACAAAGTCAATATAAGGAAATTGAGCAGGAAAATTGATGATAATAATAATAATACATTTTAATAATTTAAAAAATAATAAGACAAATATAGATTTCTACGACTTAAAAAATTTAACATTGTAGGTTATTTTTCGTTTTTCCTCAAGTTTTAATTTCATTTTTTTTGAAAAGTAAGCTGTTTTAAACGAATAAACTGTTTAAGAAATCCTTCCTCAGGTGTTGTAGAAATTATAAATAAGTATTTGAGAAAAAAATCATTTAAATTCTGTACACGTCTAATGTTTGCGTGATTGTAATTACTACAATCGATGACGCAAACGAGTTTTCAAATTCGTCGCTTTGTTAAATTAATATTTGAGTATGAAACGAGTATAAGATAATGTTTTCTTTGATGATTTTTTGTCTTTATTAAAATATTTCGACACTAAAAATGAAAATTAATATACTTAAATAGTACACTTAAAAAGGTGATACAAAATAATATGTAAAAAGTTCAGTATATACTTTAAATCATTTTTTTATTTTTAATAGAATAAAATATCACATAGAAAACGATCATGAGTTATATAAACAGCAAAATACTTATGAATTTCTACAAAACTAGATACACGTTTTTTTAAAAAGGGCATAAATTTTCGTATCAATCCATTTTTAGAATTATACAATTAATCCCATTTGACTTGTATAATATCGAACAGTTCCAACTAATTGTTGATGGTGATTATCGAATACAAAGATTCAGAAAAGTTTAAAGCTGGATTATGTTAATAAATAAAGTGGACGGTAAAAAGAACAAATGCTCGTAACCGAACGTGGTTGAATACTTGGCATGATAGGCTCGTGCAACTCATCTAAAAATAGCAAGACTGCTTAGACTTTGAGAAGGTTTTTGCGTCGCGATGCAGACTATCTCTGGGAAATCCCCATGAAGATCAGCGAGTTCATTTCAGTAATTAAATCAGGAAGATAAGATTCCCAGAAGAACCAAAAAGTAACAAATTATCAAAGCAAATTTGAATTGAGAATAAATTATGCTCCATATAAAGCTCGAATATTTCAAACAGCTGAATTGGTTAATATATTTAACATTAAGAATTTATTAATTGATTTAAATATGTTTAATTAAAATTTAAATTAATTTAAGTAAATTTATTTGCTTAACAAGACTTTAGACATAGAGAAATTAACGGAGATGGAATTAATTATGTGAATAAATAATTTGTTGTTTTTTTTTAGCAAAAGCGTGTATATCTTATTAAATTTGTCAAATTAAAATTGTTATAAAATCACTTACTGTGAAAGTAGATATAGCACAACAATAATTTCTAATGTAATTGATACATTACACAATCTCAGCTTGAAACTTACAGCTAGAACACTTACTAATTATGTATAATTGTGTATTATTTATTTTATGTGTCTGTATACTTTGCAAGCAATGTATTCTGTTTAAACGATGATATTTATAATTTCAATATAAAAAATTGCAAGTGACGATGCTGGTTTCAGTTTCATTTGCAAAAATTATACAGCAAATGTCTTTTAGTAATGAAACTGCATGTGAATCGTTGCGAAGCGTTTCTTTAAAATTTCTAGCGATTCAATTTAACGTTGATTACGTTTTGTTGCTGGCTCTCTTTTGTGCATTTTCAACTCAAACTCATCGTGATTATCTTCGAAGCATACAGGACAATAAAGATCGCCGTGACAACCTATACATCGCTGTAAATCTTCGGTTTGTTCGCACATTACGCAACTCGGTTCCTCGTCTTCTTCGTTATCAGTACGCTTTGCCTCCTGTACATTAAATTCCAATTAAAAGTTCATGTGCACATAATTATTAAAAATAAGTTTCATACCTCAATTTCCATTTCTTCAAGTTCGTCCACATTTTCTTCGTATTTTTTCTCCAATTCCGCTTCTGCCAGAGCTTTTGCAATTAATTTCTTTGTCACCTGTTTTTCATCATCATCATCATCATTAGCCGAATGCTGAAACAATGAAAAATTTCTTATGTAATTATTAATTCTTACGCGTACGTATCAGTTTCATACTTCTCTAGGTTTGTCGCTAATGCCTTGCAGTGATTTCAGCCGTGCTTGAATTTCGCTGACTGAATCACTGCTCGAAGATAGTTCCAATTGTTTTAGATATTCCTGTATTAAATCATCCGTCTTCTGTTGATCCGTTCTAGTATCCACTTGATGTATCTGCAGGAAATAAGAGAGCTATTTATATTGTACTGATAATTATATTATATTAACATACATTTATTGCGCGTTGCCTAACATCTGGGTCTTCATCTTTCAGCAATGCTAATCTCCTCCTTATTTCATCTACGCTTAAAGCTGTAGTTTTGTCTTCTTCCTTTAATTTCCTTAATCTTTCGACTATCTCTTGATCAGCTGGCTCTAAGCCAGTTTTGAATCTATCCCAATGATTTGTATGCTTATACATTATAATTGGAGGCTTTGCAGGATTCTCCAATGATTCCAGTCTGTATGAGGCAAACACGTTATGTTATTTTACTTAATGTTGATCAACAAAATATTTGAACACTTGAAGAGACTTGTTATGAATATATTAACAATAAAATATTAAAAATATTTTATACAGCACATAATATAATAAATGTTCAAATATTTTCATCAGTCACTATACATTATACATTACATATTAAGAAACATATCTCTAAATACATTACTTTTTCGTAATGTCTACTGGAGCCATCGGTTTATCTTGCTCGTCCATCTCAATGCTATTATTTGAACTTGACTTGCTTGTAAAATTATGCTTATTAAAACAACGTCCACAGATCTTTTTCACCCCTTTATCTGGAATGTTATATTTATATTTAAGGCACTTACTGCAACATGAAAAGCCGCAGCCTGGGCAAGCAACCTAAACGATACAAAAAAAAAATGAAACATGAGAAAAGAAAAAAAGCGTGTTAAAGGCCTAATGTTTCTAATATTCGTAAATATTACAAATTCAGAATGATACGTGTATGCAAGAAATACGCAATGGTATGACACAATCTAACCTATAAACTTTGCAAGCAATCTTCTGTCAACGCAAATGAGAACTTACTTCTCTTGTAAAGAAGGAAAATTTTGCTTGACAAATACTGCAAGACATACTGGATCCACTATTAAAATGTTAATGCGATGTCATCACGAATACGATAAAAAAAATTGTCCAATATATCCTGCCTCGACAGATTCTGACGTATAAGCATTCAAGTTAATAGGAATTGACTATAGCGACTGTAATTCGAAAAAGGAGACTGTTTTGCTTCATTTGGAACAAACAATATTGTTAAACGTTCTGTCTTACATTACATTATAGTATTGCAAAATAATTTCCATAATAAAGATAGAGACAGGTTTATAAAGCACTGAACGAAGAAAAGGAAATTTGTGTCCTAGAAATGTCTGACGTTACTGTTTACAATCCTTAAAGTAGTATTACGTAAATGACTAACTTCAATTGTACATAAATGAACAATAATTCACAATATGTAATTTATTCATTAAATTTGCCATTGCAATACACGGTTATAGATATATATACAATAATGTACAAGCATGTATTGCAATAGTATAATCTTTATCATTATTATATAGTCTTTTCAATTTTTAGCTCCCTTAGATCCTTTTTTACTAATATTCAATTAAATTTGCGATCCATAATGTATCTATACATCTATGTATTTATATATCTATAGCATAGTTCAAAGTTTAAAAACTGAAATAAGTATGATCGTTATATTGAATGTTTAAATGTAATACATATTTAGTTGATACACATATACAAATAAGTATCTCATGTTGTAAAATTATATTTTATAATGCAAGAGTATATTAAAAGTAACATATTATTTAACGTATTAAAAAAATGAAATGCAATTATGTAAAATATTGTACATGTATATCTTCAAATTTATTGAATAAATGAAATTTTGAATAGACGTTCGATTGTCTTATCATTTATTAGAACTTTGGGTCCAATGAAACAGACACGGCTGTAAAAATTCATAAATTAATTAACAGTTTTTACACATTGAACAAGTCGGAATTAATCTGTTCGATTTATTGATCAAAATTTCTAAATCTTTATTTGCGATTTTCGTAGGATAAATGTAGGATTTGAACGTAAAATCGAATTACGAGAGTTAACAAATTAATGCTCTAAATTAATTTCTTTCGCATATGAAAATTTGTTCGATTTATGGACAGTGAAATGCTAGCGCCGCGTAGCGGCGTAACGATGGAAATAATTGTGTTACGTATTCTTGGCGCGAAAGTGCTGCCATCTGTTGGATTGCGGCTGAAAATCCGAAAATGTAACAGGAACATAGGATATGCAAGGAGGTATCTGAACCTCTGTTAGACAAGGAACGCACTACCTTGCGACAAGGACAGATACACGTGACGTCACAGACAAGGCGCGCACTAGCGTGCGACAAGGACAGACACACATCTCTCTCTAATCTCCTAAATATTCATTAATTACTCCGTTTCCGAGATTAATTCGTGCACTTTTGGAATCGAATGGCAAAGTACAAATCTCAAGCGACATTCCCATGCAATTTTGAACGCGATTTTTCGCCTAATTAATTAGTTATTAACAACTGTTTCAACGGGCGTCCGAGCATTCGCGACGTATGCCTGCGATTTTTCATTGATATCGAGCTTCTCGAAGATAAAAGCTCGTCGTTTGGAATCGCGGAAGCTTCCTTAGACTCTGTACTTTATATTCCATGCACAAAGATCATTAATTGACTCTCCATAAACCCAAATTATGCGGAAATTCGTCGCGTCGATCCTCTGTGGTGACGACGCGTCGTGCGATAATTATTAATAACTGCTAATTTAAGCAACAATTCCTACGCAAAAACGCACGGGAATGTTGC